GGTCCCCATTATGAAAAGGCTATAATAAAAACATTTGTATTGGATTAAAGTACAGAAATTACATTCAACTAAACAAACATATGCATAAAGAAATGTGATATTTGAACTTAGCAAACAGATCCACAGGCAATTAGCAAACACTTTGCTGCACCAGAGAAGCATTTAAAATTCTTATTGCTCAGGACTATATGGATGGATATTAGAAAATCATAAAGTCATCATCACTTACTGTGGTGGGAAATCTTTATCTGCTGTAGCTTCACTGAGAATACGTTCAAACTCCTGAATATTTTGCTTCATTTCACACAATAGCTTGTCATGTGCTGCAAGCTTTGCAATACTAGGAGAGTAAGCCCGAGCCACATATAGTAGGTCCTTCATCTTCTTTACTAAAGTCTTTCATTTTTTCCCTATGTTCACAACGCCATAAGCAGTAGCTCCCAAATTTCATCTCACAATGAGAAAAACAGGGTCATAACATTATTTTAGATGAGAATTAACCAAAATCCACATCCTAGTTTCTGATACAAGTATTTTTAGCTTACAAATAATCATATAAAAAAAATGAAAGCAAAAGGGCTAAAAGTGTATGATGATGACAATTAACAAAGAAAAAAAAGCCGACTGAAAATGGATGAGCAGACATCAATAAGGTGACAACTAAAAAGTCTAGTGCACCCACATCAGGCATAAATTACACTTCTGGCAGATGATAACAGTTAACAGTTCCACTGCTTAGGCACATTTATTTCTTAACCAGAAATTTTACGATTCACTTGATTGTTCTAAGACAATGGCTATATAATAACTATACACAGTCTAGATTTACTGAAATGCTGCTGGATTTTATTCCGAAATCGAAACAAAAAAAAAATAAAAATAGTAAGTATAATTTCCTCATGTGACGCAAGCAAATGATAAAGAAATAGAGAAAACAAAAAAATCATGAACATCCTATAGAAAGAATCAATATAGGCATTGCAAAAAAAAAAAAAAAAAAAAAAAGAGAAGAAAAGAAAAAAAAAGGTTTACTCAGTACACATTAAGACATGGAATTTATAAGAAACCCTAATTGAATTAAACTAAAGTCAGGTCATACCTATTTGAGTATCAATTTGATGAAGATAACAATTTACAGGGGATGAAAATACAAACCTCAAAATTTATCGATGCACACACGATAAATTAGGTCTTCGGTTTGACGCCAAAGTGTCCTTCGAATAGTAGGGAGGGGTTAGGACTTCGAATGAGAGAGGGAGCTATGGTTAGGGCTTGGAGAAAGGAGCGAATCCTTGTTGAGTCTCAACGCCCATCTGTGGTGGACTTTACAGGGGCACTGCGCACCTTAAAACTCAGGGAACTTTTCAATCAGCTGTGCCGCTATCTCCTTTCTAACGTTGCGCTGACCATCGATTCAACCCTCCGCTGCTCCTCAATGGTGGAGATTTCAGAAATCAGTGGTTCGGTAGAAGGGTTGGGTTTGGAGAGAAAAAGGCATGGGTCAGGCTTGGAAATTTGAGAGAACGGGGATTTGCAAATCGAGGATAGATAGTATAGATCGCGAGAGAAAGGGGCCAGCTTTGGAGATAGATGCAGATATATATATTTTTTTGAGTATATATGTTATGTGTGGTTTCTCTATGAGTTATACTTTTGTTTAAAATTTTTTCTTTTTAATGAAACTAGAGGGAACAAAACGCGCGTAAGCAGGATTGAAAATAATTCACTTTAACAAACACGTGCTTATTATCATGGTTTTTCATTTACCCGTATTAGAAAATCTTTCTACCACGGTTATAAAAATAATCGTGGTAAAAAGTGCGTGGTTATAATCACAGTTTTTCATTAACCGTGGTAGAAAACTTTGCTACCATGGTTTTAAAATAATCGTGGTAAAAAGGGTCTTCTACCACAGTTTTAAAATGGTTTTAAAATAACCGTAGTAAAAAGGGTCTTCTACCACGGTTTTAAAAAAACCGTGGTAGAAGACCCTTTTTACCACGGTTATTTTAAAACCGTGGTAGAAAGTGCATGGTAAAAAACTGTTTTTCTTGTAGTGAAAGTTGCAAACAATGACTCGGCGATTTTAGTGAGGTTCGGAAACTCCTACTTCTCGGCTTAAGACCCTTCTTGAGACTTCCCAATCCACTATAACTTTTCCTTACGGGTGGAGAAAAAACATTTACGTGAAACAACTCTTTACTTCACCTTATTAAGAGAATAACATTCCCTTAGTCTTCCTTTGGGTCACAGTAACCCGGTGGGTCAAACCAACCCCATACAATTTATAGTAATAAGAACAATGAAGTATAAGAAATATCTCTCAAAGATTAATGTACAAATTTAGCTTTCAACTAAAATATATATGAATATCAATGAAGTTCAAACTCTATGAATGATATGAATAAGGGAAGATAATATAAGTGAAGAATAAATGCTCTTATGAACTCAATAGGATCTCTAAAGTATAGAATAGAGCAAAAGCTCTTTGAATCCTTAGCTGAATCTCTCAAGTATAGTATATGAATGAATGAGAGAGATGAAGAGAAAATATGAGAACAAAAGCTCTCTTTGATGTCTAATGAGGTCTCTCAAGTGTCGGCTCTCTTGCATACCCGCAAATTCTTTAGATTGTGTATTTATACGCCCTTAGAAGAATATAGCCGTTTGGGGGCATTATGGTAAATTCATATGATGTTAAATAGTCAAAATAGCCGTTGGGAAGCTTCTGCTCATTCATCTAACCGGTTAGAAGGCTTAAACTATTCGAGTAGATGAGATTCAGATCTTATCTAACCTGTTACAAGGATGTTCCTAACCGGTTACATCAGCTGTGAGTGCATTATCAGTTTTAGAGCAACTACTCGATTACAAGAGGGTTCCTGACCGGTTACAACAATTGCAAAGTGAAAAATGATCTTTTCTACTTTAGTGTAAGTAATCGGTTACAAAGACTTTCCTAACCGGTTATGAGTAGTCATACTTAAATGGTTCATTCTATCCATTGTACTCCTCGGTTAGAATAGATATGCTAACCAGTTACTGGATGTGATTCTCAGAACATGCTCTTTGTCCTATTCATCTACTCAGCTAGAGGAATTTTCGTAACCGGTTATATGGACATCAGATTTTGGTGACAGTGGACAGTTTTTCTGCAGGACTTCTGCATACACCTTATTTTCATTGAAAACATTTAAGTAAATATCAATTTACTTTAAGTTTATAATGTAAATAAGGAAGTACCCCCCATTTCGATTCAATAAAAAATAAAAGAAAATTAAAATCCAACTAAATCAAAATGTAGAAATTCAGTTTTAGTACAAATTTAGATTTTCGACAGTTTTGGTAAAAATGAATCCTCATGTAGAACAATGTAGAATGGATGAAAAAATCCCATAAAATCAGTTTAAGCTTTTTGAAGTATAATGAGTTATTACTAAGAAAAATTATTTTGAAATAATCATTATTTCAAATATTCATTTTTCACACTTAGCCATTTTTCATACTTAGCCAAAAACACGATTTTTCATAACGAGCATTCAGGGGTCCTAATATCCTTTGCCAACTCATGGTAATGAAGGCTTCTCCTGTCTTAATAGTTGACCAATATGAATCATATAATTGATGTGCATGGTCTTAACATTTCTAGCACAAGTGATGAGTTCTTTCAAAGCTTAAGCAAGCTTGAACTAACTCATTCTTTAGCAATGACTTCATGTGTTAATTATATATGAATGAAGTGCATAGCCTATTACTAATGGATATAGGAACATATAAATGATGATATGATGTACATTGTCCTATAGAGATGAGTTTCAAATGGATTCATAAATACTTTGACATTGAATCCTAATAATTTATCATTCTATCTATCACTTTCTTATTTGTCCATGATCGTATATGCTTCGAGGTATTCTTACTTCCTTGTTTTCTTTCTTTCTTTGAGTTATTTTCTTGATTATTGATGTCCAAGCTATCTTTGGATGGACTTTACAACTTCAAGTCTTCTTTGTATCCATTGCTTTGCTTGATGTGTTATTGAATAATAGAATACTTGGAATGATCTTTAGTACTTCATTAAGGTCATTCTTTGAATGTGAATAATCTATATAACATGCAATGTAAACATTAATCCTTAAACACCATTAATGGTTTGTTATCATTAAAACAACTAAATTGTGCTTGGATGAAATCCTTAAGGTCAATAGTATTTTTGATAAATTCAAGACCCAAAAATCTGCTCTCACCGACCACTAACTAACAAACAGGAGATCGACATGGTCGACTGTACAACACCTCAAACGGTGCCATACCAATAGTCTTTTAAAAACTATTGTTGTAGGCAAACTCTACAAGAGTGGCAAATAATCCTCCAAGTTGCCCTTAAAATCAAGGACACAAGTTCGAAGCATATCCGCCATGATCTGATTAACCCACTTGGTTTGCCCATCAGTCTGAGGATGATAAGTAGTTCTAAGATGTAAATTGGTACCCAAAGCCTATTGAAAACTCTCCCAAAATCCTAATACAAAGTTCGAATCCCTGTTTGATGTAATAGACATCGGTATGCCATGCAGTTTCACAATCTCCGTAATATAAAGCCTCGCCAACTTTTCTGAAGTGAAATCAATATGTATAGGCAAGAAATGAGCTAATTTTTTCAACCTATCAACAATGACCCAAATAAAATTGTGGTTTCTTTTGGAATTTGGTAATCCCTCCACAAAATCCATAGAGATACTATCCCATTTCCACTGCAGTATAAGAAGCGGCTACAAGGAGCCAGGCGGTCTCTAATGATCAATTTTGACCATCTGACAAGTACTACACTTGGAGACAAAGATGGCTATGTCCCTTTTCATACCTGCCTACCAAAACTGTCGCTTCATGCCTTGATACATCTTATCTCCACCTGGATGGATAGAGAACTCAAATTTGTGAACCTCCGTCATCAGATCTTTTCTTAAATCATCAACAGAAGGTACTACTAGGTGTCCTTTTTACCTCAAGCCTCCATCTGCCCTAATAGAGTAAAATGGGATATCACTATAAGCTAACTCCTTAACTCTATCAATGCACTGCTGATCCATAAATTGTGTCTTCAGTATTTTATGGATGATAGCAGGTGTAATTACTATGCATGCCATAAAAGCATCAGACAACTCATCTACAGTCTTCAAAGCATTCCATTTTGTAGCAAACATCGTAGAAAGACTAGTAAAGGGTCGGTGACTGAGTGCATCTGCTACTACATTCGCTTTCCCTGGGTGATATTGTATGGAGAAGTGGTAATCTTTTACAAACTCCAACCACCTACGCTGTCTCATATTCAGTTCCTTTCGTGTGAAGAGATACTGCAAACTCTTATGGTTACTAAATAGTCTGAAGGACTCCCGCAACAGATAATGCCTCCAAATACGTAAGGCAAAAACCATAGCTGCTAACTCCAAATCGTACGTCGGATAATTAAGCTCATGAGGTTTAAGCTTACGAGATGCATAAGAAATTGGTCGCTCCTTCTGCATTAAAACACACCCCAGACCCTGCAAAGAAGCGTATGTGTAGACAAGATACTCTATCCCACTTTGGGGTGTAGCTAGAACAGGTGCAGAAGTCAACTTGCTCTTCAATGTGTCAAACACAGTCTGACAATGCTCATCCCATACAAACGGTACACCCTTTTTTGTCAGATGGGTGAGTGATCCCGCTATCTTCGAAAACCCCCGGATGAATCTGCGATAATATCCTGCCAATCCTAGAAAGCTGCAAATCTCAATGGGTGAGGTAGGTTGTCCCCACTCAAAAACAATTGTGACCTTGGCTGGATCCATCGCTATCCCCTTCTCTGACATCATGTGTCCCAGAAACTTCACTTCTGTTTGCTTAAAGTCACACTTCTCGAACTTGGCATACAACTGGTGCTCGCGAAGCCTCTGTAACACTGTGCAAAGATGTCTAACATGATCGTCCTCTGACTTAGAATAAATCAAAATATCATCAATGAATACGATGACAAATTGATCTAAATAAGCCCTGAAGACTCTGTTATCAAGTCCATAAAGACTACTGGTGCGTTAGTCAACCCGAAAGGCATGACACGGAACTCATATGAACCATATGTAGTGAGAAAAGCTGTCTTAGGAACATCTTGCTTCTTAACCCGAAGTTGATGATATCAATCTTAGAGAAGTACGTAACTCCCTTCAATTGATCAAAAAGATCGCCAATCGTAGGCAAAGGATACGAGTATTGGTATTAATTGTACATGCTAAAAATAAATTGAGGCGAAATGCTATAAACCAATGAATCTTGAAAATTTGACACCAGCTCATATTATATCAATTCAACTTGGTATAACTTGGACAGTTATAATTTAGACAATTGTAATTTAAAGAATCTGATCTGTTTGAATATGAAATCATTCACTTTTACAACTAAAACTAATGGATTTTTTTCAACTCTGCTACCCCTGGTCTCCCTCGTACTGCCCGATCACTGACCTGTTACTAACTCTACTCTACTACTCTCTTATCTAAAAGGTTGTAAAAAATCATTATTCTACTCTTCTTTTTAAATTTCTTAGAAAGTGATAGCAATTAAGCATGGTTCAAAGTAAAATTTCAGTATTAAATCTGATGCAAACTTCCCACAAATTATCCCTATTTTTCCAAATGGATAGATCAAGTCGATTTCAATTTCACCTCATGCAACATTATGGAAATATATCAACTCCACAATAAGATAACTAAGAATGAATTACTAATTAAGGATGTAACATGGATGAACAAATTCAGACCCCACCAAAATCTTTTTTGACTGTAGGTTAATTTGGAAAAGTACACCTTTACAATCATTCCATGTTGTCCTTCGACAAGTGTCAAGTAAATTGAGTTTTATTTGCTATGATTTCATTTTGATGTCATTGTTAAAATCTTAAGATTCTGATAAGAGTATTTGAGTTTATGAGTTCATCGAGTTAGAGGTCAGGTCGGGTCAGGGCATTTAGGTAGAGCGTTTTGCCTCGTTAAAATCTTAAGATTCAGATCAGAGTATTCGAGTTTATGGGTTCATCGAGTTAGAGGTCAGGTTTGGTTAGGGCATTTAGTTAGAGCATTTTGCGTCCTAGGTCTTGACTTAGGTTTAATGTTAACTACACCGAGACTATCACCTTAAATTAAACTTAGTAAGTGGTGTTTTTTTAGGTATGTGTCCATAAGTGTTATTTTGATAATAAATAAAAAATAAAAAAATAATTATCGTCCTTGGCATATATAATCCCACTAGAAGAAGGTCGAATTTTTTCTTGGTGAAATATATATTGGATTATCCATATATTTATAGCATAAAATGGAGGTGCGTCTAAATTTTCTAGTACATTTATCTTTTGGCATACATGATTAAAATGAGGCTTAAAAAAGAACCAAATTAACAAAAATTTTGAAGGGAGAGTATTGATTAAGTAACTAATTTTTTTGAAATCGAGCATACTATTATTGACTTTAATTATTTTCAACAAGTGAACGTTGCCGGTAAATAGATGAATATATTAATGCAGCAAATAAACGAGAACTCCAGGGTAATGCTTTTTAATTTATTCATTTTGTTAAATAAAATAAATAAATATGCCTTTTAAAATAGGGATTATTACATATAAATGGGGTTAGAGTTTCATATTTACCAAGAGGCTGAGTCAAAGTCTCACATTTCTTAAAAATGAGGTTGACTAAATTGATGACATGGCACATGAATTATTACTGTTTAAAACTTGTGGTGCCTAAAATGCCCTTCTCACTATTCCAGCACATTTACCTTATTGCCCCCGTTTAATTTAGTCACTCAACTCTAAAGCATTGTTGCCCTAAAATACACAGTCACAAATCCAGCGAAGCAAGCCCAGGCAAACACAGCATCACCGAACATGGAACCCTAACCCTCCCTCATCTCATTCGTGAAGAGCCCTTAAGAGCCCTCTCTCTCTCCCCCCCCATCTCTGTAACAGGATTGAAGCGTAGCGGTTGAGCCCTAACCCTCATTCAAGCCCTCTCTCTTTCCCCCTTTGTAACAGCAAAGCACTTCTCCACGTCTAACCGTCGTTGGTGCGCCCTCTCTGTAACCCAGCGAAGCACTTCTCCACTTCTGCCATTCATTTATTGTTGTTCTAGTAATATGGTAAGTACTCTCTCCCTCTTAACACACACACGTTTATATTTTAGATGATTATGGTCCTGATTTAGTGTTATAATTTTTTTTTTTTTTCCAATTGGATGTCTGATTTTCATGTAGGTTATGTTTATATATATTCTCCTCTTATAATTTCTATTATGCAATCATATATATATAATTTCTATTCTGCAATCAAGATTGTTGTTGCTCTGTTTGTTGTATATGTTTGAAATGTGCGTAACAAAATGTTGCTCTCTTGTGCGTGACAAAATTAATTTTTAAAACTCAGTTTTATCCCACCAACAAAGGCAAAATTTTCATAAAGTAGATACTTAATTAATCAAATGTTTTTTTTTATTTTTTATTTTTTATTTTTCTTCTTCTTCTTTTGTAATTAGGTTTGCTTGTTTTTGAAGAGTTCATGCTTTCTTTATACGTTGACTGAACTGAAATCCCAAATGTTATCCTACAATCTTTCCACTAGCATGGGTTTTCATACTTAAAATACTCGGAATTTGCTGAAGAAAACATAATTAAACAGGATAAAAAACAAATTTCCATGCATGTCCTTTGTTACTTGCTGAATTTTTTTTTATAGAACATTAATCTGATCTTAAAACTTAAACATTGTACTGTTAATGCCTACCTGTGTATAGTAGAGATTCAATGTCCCTAAATCCAAATAATTCATGTTATTTAAATTTACTAGGACCATGTGGAAGCAAGTGGCAGTACGTGTGGTGCCTACAGGCTTTTTGTTGGATTTCACTAGTTAGCTAACTAGCTTGTGCCAAGGTAACAAGCTTAAATCCTATCTTCATAAGTCATTTGCTTTGGAGACCTTATGATACAATCAATGAATGTAAACTGTAAAGAGGCATGCATGTGATAGTCTTTGGGTAGGGACACTTGTTATCAAATGTTTGTGAAATCTACATTCCCATTTGCATTTGCTTAGTAAAAGAATTGTTTAAGATTACTAGTATTGGTTCTACAATATTAAATTAAAAACAAGTTTTTCATACAAACTATATTTGTTGTGGTTTAGTGGTTGAAATGTAATTAAATATAAAATTTGAGTTTGGTTCAATTAAATGAAAATGCTTTATAATAATTTCATGATTAATATCTTGGGTGTTAAGAATCACTAATAAAGATTTTAGTTCTCAATATAAAACAAAAGGGAAGAAGCTACTCTGTTTGGATCTTTGGACTGTGACTCAGAGATGAAGTAACAAATCTTCATGGTTATGCTATGATTTGTGCCTTAGCTTACAAGGTTGGAAGTCTTTGGTAAATGTTTTCACTAGGGAAACATAGCATTTTAGAGCATGTCAGTGATGGCCTTGGTGTCTGATAATTACCAACATTTAAATAAATTAGATAAATAATTCTTTTTAGTAGACTGATTGAATATGTTAACATTTTTAAACGATTAAAAAATTTAGTCTAAGATATTGCCATGCAATGACCAGAAATGGAAAAGATTTCTTCACCATCTGTTCATGAAATTTGAATGGTTTTAAACAACAAATTTCTAGATATGCTTACAAGTTCCCCCCGCGCCCCCCCCCCCCCCCCCAACCGGTGAAGAGTGCAAGCTGCTTTATACCTAAGCCCAAATTCAGTTGAAAATACAAGACACGAACAATAATGGGAAAACTGTTATATGACCTTTACGTCTAAATTGTATTTACGGGAAAAGAAAGAGAGAATGAAAGAAAGAAGTAAATTTCGATCAAAATTCTGTCCAAGACTGATGCTTTGGAAGTTATTTAGTTTCTAACGAGATGAAAAAGAGAAAATATAAAGCAGTAGGTAGTTATCTAAACACCAGTTATATAAATAATAATAAATAAATAAATTAAGTACTTATTCAGTTTTATCAAAAGGGATGCAGAAAAACCCAAAAAGATAAACATATTGTCATAAAACAAGACATAGCATTGGTAATACTAATACCTCTTCGGGCGTTGATTCTCTTCTTGAATAGCCGAATTGGGTCTTAACCCTCCAAACACGCCGCATAAATAATTATCCTGACATTGAAATTCAAGCAATTTTCAACCCATCAAAGAACCAAAACAAATAGCCCGAACTTTCTATATATATACACACACAGAAAAACAAAAATTGGTAAGAGGGGGACATAGAAGGTGATCTCTCTGGCGGCTCTGGGGCTGCAAAACCTGCCACTCTCGTCAATTCTGGGCAGCATTTCTCTGGGAGATGAGAGAGAGTTTGCCGATTTTTCAAGAACTTCCCCAACAGCCGTGAGAGCTGAAGAAGTGCGAAGAGGAGAGCTTAATAGAGAAATTAAGCTTTCTGAGAATTAGGTTTTGAGTAGCATTCTCTATACCAGATCAGAATATGACACCTCTTTGCATTATTTGGAATCAAAGTAGAAATAGAAGTTAGAACTAAATTGAAGAGTAACACTACTTTTTGTATAAATTGAAGAGTAACACTACTTTTTTATCTAATATATTCTACACCCGTGCATATATATAAATATATTGTGGAACATACATATTAAATTGATGACTTAATATGAATGCCACAATTAAACACACTACCTTAGGGGGGGTATTCCCAAAGTTTCTCATTTTATCTGTTCGATTTTCTAATAATAGATAATAAATAATCTCCTATTGTGTACAGAATCACAACACTTACTCCAAAAACATATTATATATATATATATATATATATATATATATATATATATATATATATAATATTGTGAGTTGAGTTGAGAATTTCACTTGATAGAGCTTTGATGTCAAATAAATAAAGAAAGACAGGTTTCATAAATGAGGAGTGAAGAGGTTGAGGGAACACTGACAATATTTCTTTGTATTTTGCTCTGTTTTGAAAAGGCTACATGAGAGAGCTCTCTCTCTCTCTTTGAGGTGGATCTGATTTTTTTGGTCCAAAACTCTGGCACTACAATCAAACCAAAGACACCACCTTTATGTGAAGGTGAATACGGATACTACATGTCTTTGCACTAGGAAAGGAATCAAAATCAAAATCAAAATCAAAATCAAAACAGCTAATGGGTGATTTAAAGTTTTCAATGGGAAACAGATAAGTGTAGTACTACTAAAGTCTGTTTTAAGAGAAAAGCCTTCAAACATGGTAGAGTTTATAGATTTTTGTGGGGATTGCCTTATTAAATCTGCCTATGCTCTTTTAGCTGCATTATATATATTTCTCGCAATCGAGATATACATGGTTTTACCCCACTAATTCTCGGAGCTCCCAAAGAATTATTTGTACTCATGAAAGCGTAGTCTCAAAGAATTATTTGTACTTATGAGGAATCTAATTTTAAATCTGGTGCTTCATGTACTTTTATTTTTTGATTTTCAATTGTATCCAAACATGTTATTTTTTTATATTTCCATTAAAATGGTATCTCTCTTTGATTTTGGATCATGTGTGTGATTATGAAATTATGTGTTGATTTGTAAGGTTGCTTTCAGCTTTGGACAAAAATAAAATGAAATGCTCTTTGAATTATCGACTCTCAATTAACTATGTTGGCAGCCTATTGCAATCGATTAGAGTGATTAATAAATTCTTAAAATTTTGTTTCTTGTGAGGGAGGGTCTAATTTTGTAATTTTGCTTTAATGGTATTTGATAGTAACAGAAAAATTCAGTAAGTTAATATTTATATTTGGTTTTATACTAAGTCGCATAAAGTGGTAGATAGAGCGCAAAAGCAACAAAATTAAATTACAAACAAATCGTGAGAATGGGAGCTAGATTTACACCTGTTAAAAAGAATTGTATGACCTAGATTTTAACACAAACACACTTGTCATAGGCTAGCTACACCTATTGTAATTTCTGCGGCTAGCTATTGGTCACTGTTCTTGTTTGTTTGAGTGTGTTTGGATCATAAAAAAACAAACATATTTCAGCCACTACATGAATAGCTTCCCAATGAGATTGAGGAAAAACTTCAAGACAAAATGGCTGAGCTAAATCTAGTTTATGATTATGTTAAGTGCTGTTAGGAGGAGATTGAAACAGCACTGGACCGTCAATAAGCATATCAATCTTAAGAATCATAGTGTGAACTATACTCTAATACAGGTCCATAGAACACGTGTGCCATTAGGGGAGAGAAAACCCTAAGGTACCTCGATTTGGAAGGAGAAAGAGAAGGAATGAGAGAAATGGTATAATAATACTTGTTTAACCTTCCAAACAAAAAACCTTTAGGAGTCATCCAAACCAACATGAATTTGTTCTAATTTTTACAAGAGTTAGGCTGAAATATTTAAACATAACACGACTTTGTCATATATATGTATGTTTATACATGATTTTAACACACACACACTGGCCATAAGCCTAAATACCACACATTAACTAGTACATAATGGAACACATACACAAAACTAGTAGTAATCATGATGCAACTAATAAGCTCCATATGATCAAAGTAGTTTCACGGCTTATTTATCATTAAGCAGTAGTTGCCATGGACTGATATAGATATATATTCAAAGCATATAATTTTAAATTTTTAAGCTCATTACATCAACAAACTATCAAGACTTTCATTTTATTTTTGTCCAAATCTGAAAGCAACCTTACAAATCAACACATAATTTAATAACCACACACATGATCCAAAATCAAAGAGAGATACCATTTTAATGGAAATATCAAAATTTAGTTAAAACCATTAATACTGACCATGGTTATATCCATTTGAAATTTTAAATTCACATTGTCAGTTATAACCAATACACACCACAATATTGGTCGATAGCTATGAGTAGTATCAATTCACTCCGTTAGAAAATAATATCTATGTAAAATCAGCTATATCTGTATCTTCCTACAAAAAGAGTCAGACTAAATCAGCTATATCTGTATTCAAGCTATATATTCAAGGCTCTTTGATGACTGCAGACTAAATCCTCAGCAGAACGTAGGAATTTAGGAGTTAAAATTCAAAGCCACCAACACATAGGTAGTCCAATTAGTTTTTATGTATAATTAATTATTATAACTCAATTTAGATCAAGAATTATTCAAGATTGTTGCCTCTTTCTCAAATGGCATGTAGAGTATACCTCTGTGTAATATGTCTTAGGCATCTACGCACATGATAGAATTGATGCAAAAGCTAGCAAACTCTATAAATGAGGCTTTTTTAATATATGTATTTAGCATTAATTTATCAAAAAAATGTATTTAGTATTAATTTATTATTCCAACATTCCCTTGTACTTGTCTCCCCCATTTTCAAGACTTACACATATAATATTTGTGTGTGAAAAATATTCAACACTCTGCTCTCTCTCTATTTAACTCTCAATTTTTTATTTTCAATCTATAATGTCCCATTTAACTCTCTATTCATCTCATAATCTCCCTCATCTTGTATATATGTTTGTTGTACACATAGTGATACAATTATCTAGTAATCAATGGCATTGATTTTGTGGTTGTATTTTGATTTGAAAAAGGTCTGTAGTGTGTGTTTAGGAAAAGTTTAATCTTGACACCGCCTATCCCTATTGAGGGAATTAGTAGTGTTTCGGTGTAAATAGATCTCTAAATTACATTATATAATTATGATATTTAATTGTTTTATATTTCATTTTTTTTTTAACTTCATATTTAGTTTTTTTTTTTAAACTAATGAGTCAATTTTCGAAGCAGTTGGACAAATGGATGAGAGACAAATTATATGCTATTGTCGATTTGATGGGAAAATTGACAAAAATGAGAATGGGGAAATTATATACATCGGCGGTGTCACAGACCCTTTTATGATAACAACAACAACAACATACGAATCATTTATAAATGAGTTACAACAACGTTCATCTTCAAACATGAGTGGTAAAGTCATATATTATACCACCGAATCTAACAAGAATGAACTTTTGAGGATGACGGGAGAATCTGGATTTAGAGTGATGCTTCTAGTGAGTGGTCCCATGCTAAATGTGTATATGGAAGATGCAGAGCCTGTAATTGCATCATGCACAATTCCTACTGATCATAGTGAGAGGTAAGACACATATATTTAAAGTAATACATTGATGTATGCGCTGCATAGGTTATGTGATTTTTAATATACCTTTTTATCCACTTGTAGACAATTTGTTGAAGCCACATCGCCAATTGGTCTTCTACAAAGTGTTGCGTCAACGTCTTCATTTCCTCCGATAAATGCGCATCGGGATTCTTTCCGACACATTGATGACATTCTTTGCGTGGATCAGCTTTTTGACAGCCCAAATGATTTCAAAGATGCACTCGTTTTGTTTGGTCTTCGTAATCATTTTCGGTTCAAGTACTTGGACAATAGCAGAAAATATTATAGAGTTGTGTGCGAGGTTAATAATTGTCCATGGAAATTATCAGCTGGTTGTGAAGGAAGTGGTGATATAGTGAGAATCAAACGGTTTAATAATGTTCACACTCACACTGCTCAAGACATTTCAGATTATAAAGCCATTTTTTGGTCGAAGGAAATGGGTCGAGCTATTGTGAACAAGGTTAGGGACAATCCTAAATGCACCCCCAAGACTATTTCCACAGACATAAACGGTGAATTTTCTGCTAAAATGACTTACATGCAATCGTGGAGAGCTAAGGAGTGTGCACGTCATATCATTGAGGGAAATCCCAAGGATAGCTATATTTTAGTCCCGTGGTTGTGTGAACGAATAGCAGAATATATTCCTGGGACAATTACATCGTGGGAGTGCACGGATGATAGGAGATTTAAGCGAGTGTTTGTAGCTTATGGGTGCTCCATACGAGGTTTCATCAACTATTGCAGGCCCATGTTAGCAATCGATGCTTGCCACTTGAGTGGCAATTATAAAGGAACAATGCTTGGTGCAACGGGGTTCGATGCGAATGATGGCTTGTGGCCTTTGGCGTATGCTGTTGTTTCTTCTGAGAATGATGATGATTGGCATTGGTTCTTGAGCAAGGTGAAAGAGATTCTAGATGGTCGCATTGTGACAATCTTAACCGATAGGCATCCGAGCCTAATAAGTTGTATTAGAGATATTTTTGGCTCCCAGTACCACTCATGGTGTCTTCGTCACCTAACGGCGAATTTTTCTACATCCATTCTTGGGAGACAAAGTTTAGGATTGAGGGCTTCGGGTAAAGAGCATGCGAAAAAATTACTCGATAAAATTGCATATGCTCGAACTGTAGATGAGTATAAGAATGCATTGGCTGCCATGCGGGTATTTCGAGTGGAGTTATGCGATTAGGTTTTGGCGAATTCACCTGAACATTGGTCAAATGCTATGTTTACTTCCAATCGTTGTGATAAATTATACACCAATCAAGCAGAGTCCTTCAATGCATGGGTGAAAGAAGAGAGGGTTTTTTCAATCACAAGGTTGATGGATACACACATGCAAAGACTCAGCAAATTTTTATACCAAAAGAGTTTGGACGTTCAGAAGTGGACTATCCCGGTTGGGGATCGTATTGAGGAGAAAATAAAAAAAGAGCAAGAGTTAGCTCTTGGTTTTCAGTCGATGCGTGTTTCGCCTACTGAGTGTACAATATATGATCGAGACAGAAAACCATTCAGGGTGGTATTTGGCAGTGAAAATTCTTGTAGTTGTTTGAAGTGGACCATGAGTGGGATTCCTTGTTCGCATGCATGCTATGCCATCCATGAATTATCTTTAAATATTTATGAGATGGTTGATCCATGGTTTAGGGTTGAAACACAACAAAAACTATGTGAACATCTCATGTCTTCTGTCCCCATGCATGATATGCCGAATGCAGCTGCTGTTGCTACTGCTGACGGTGAAGGTGCTTCCCATCTTAGGCCTCCTGCGGTAACACGTCCCCCTGGACGACCTCGTATTAAACGAATCGAATCACAATTTCAAAATGTAAGGTCGTTACACTGTTCGCGATGCGGTGAGAATGGTCATAATCGTCGAAAGTGCAAGGCTCCTATACCTGGATAGAATAGTTATATAATTGCTAATTCTAGTGGAGTTATTTTGTAAGGTGTTAAGGCCTTAAATATGGAATTATTTTGTAATTACTATTAATTCCTTGGAGCTCCCCTACTGCATTAGTATAACTATGTTGTGATAGTATTTCTAACTTATTTAGAAAACATTTCTAAGTATGATGTAACTTATTCTAAGTTGAATCTGTATTATTCGTCTGGTGGTTTATTTTGGTATTGAAATTATTTTCCTGGGTCCTCGTATGAGTCTCATGTGGAGTGTTATTTAAAAATCATAGGTGTGTGAGTTTTCTGGCAGCTGGAGGGTCGTGAAAGCAAGGAGGTTATGGGATTATGTGACAATGGACGGGCTTACATGTTACATGCTTACGGAAGGCTAGGAAAATAACATCATATTAAAGTCATTATGACTTGTTTCCTCACTATTAATTCCTTGGAGCTCCCCTACTGCATTATGACTGTTATTTCAACCACAATTTACCTCGTGAGTCTCTCTCTTCCTCACTTTCTTTGTGTCTCAAAAATTATATGAACATTGTGTTTACATTATCAACATTGTTTGACAGATGAGGCTGAATGGATAAATCAGTACAAAGGAAGAGTGTTCAGTTTAAACGACAAGCCTGTGGTGCATAAAATTTGGCTGCCGAATGAGGAATGCCCCAGATTGGCAATGTCTAGAGCCTTTGGGGACTACTTTATTAAGGATTTTGGACTTATATCCGTCCCTGAAGTGAGGTGTTGTCACATATAACCAGCAGAGACCAATTTGTTGTGTTGCGAACCGATGAGGTATGTATGGCACTTTTTGGTATTTATCACTTGTTCTTTTTTATACAATGACAAAGAAAAAGACTTGTTTGTTTCTCTATTAAATGTCCAAAAGATCACGTGAACGAATACGTTTCAAACTCACGAGCATAATTGACAATAATCACTTCAAATTATGTGATATCAGTTATTATTAATGAGTTTACAGGTTTTTGTTTTGGCTCAAATTGATTGGATTTTGAAATTAGTATGGATTTTTGAAGTTAATCTTAACATGCTGTGATCCTTGTTTTGTAAGCAGAATTTTTCCTATCTTTTCCTTCAAACCTTATTTAATCGGTAAGAAAATTTATTGATTTAAATTGATAGAAGAAAAATTGTGTGTTTAAGCTTCCAATGGACTTGGTTTCATGCAAATTGTTTGAGAATTTCTTTTTTATTGATTTTTCAAAGTGAAGTATGTATTTCTGGGAAAAATTGTTTCAAATAGATTTTTGGGCTTCCTTCTGATTTTTTGTTGTCCAAATTGTCCAATCATGTTTGATAGAATAAAAAAATAAATAAACAATAATAAAAAGGATTTTGCTATAATCTTAGTTGACTACTGTTACCCCATTTATTTATTTATTTTGTTTAGAGTCTTGCTTTTGGTTACTAGCGCCTAATAAAAAAGTTGTTTGCTCATATGTCCCTTATTTTTGAGTTTTTTCATTTAACCATCTCCACTTGTACAATATTTTGGTGTTATATTTTGTTTAATTGATTTGCATGTACTTCAAATGTAGTCTTCCCGCTAGGGGCTGGGAAGAGATAACAACGGGAGCGCCGATTGCATGGCTATCAAGTACATCAAATTTGTAAGTTATATGGTCTTTATGTTCGATAAAAATCTTTTATGATTGCACATTTGTAATGCTTTTTATACTCACACTCGGGGGGGTCACATGCCTTTAAGTGACCAATTTTATGGTGTATCATGAACTTTAGTACCTTATTGCTACATCGGCCCATGTGGAGGCCATTTTTTTTTTTCTTGTTTTAAAATGTTGAAAGCATGGGAGTATGGGATCATCGTATGTGGAGGTTTTGATTGATTGTTGTGGAGGAGAAGTTGTTGATAAGTTGTTTAATGAGTTAATGCAAGTTCTCACGTTCTTCGTACATGTTGATATGTGGAGGTTTTGCTAATTTTCTCTTAAACCCAACTCATTCATCAACGCTCTCTTGCTCTCTCTCTCTCTCTCTCTAGTCTTGTTCATCGTTTTGCTAGGATTTCTACTCTATTTTTATACAATTTTGATCCCTATATATATATATATATACGCTGTTCCTAAAACATCAATTTTGGATTCAGGAATTGGACACAAAAATGTCGCGATTCCCTCTCTCCGATCAGAAACTTCGAAGGCAAAATTTGTGCGAAAAAGTATGTGTTTCCATCTGCTTGTGTGTGTTTATGTATGTTCGCCAACCAATTGATATTTTCGGCTTTCTGTTTCGTTGCAATGAATTCAAGAAAACGAGAAAAGTTTAAATTCTTTTAGCTTTTGTATCGAATTCCTTTTGATTTTCTTTCTTTTGTTTGTCTTCGTGAATTTGTTGGACTTTTGGATTTACTGTGAACTACGGTTTCTTCGTCTACTATTTGAATGTTTCTTTTTTTTAGACGATATCTAGTGTTGTTTGCAATATCTTTAGATTTTTGTGGTTGATGTTCCCATTAATTTCTTGGATTTTGATTTTTTTTCACGTAAGGGTTTCTTTAGCATATTTGGATGGTTTATTGTCTACGAATATGAGTTTTCAGGAATTTAGGGTTTATTTGTTCAACTTGTATAGATTCTGCACGACTAGAATTTTTGACATCATTTGATAATTTTTTGGATGGTTTGGATTTCCATGGGATTCAACATGAAGATTCAGGGAAAACACACTCAATATGTTTTTGTTTCTATTTGTATAAATTTGGATTTACGTAGTTCTTTCTTTATTCAGAGAAATAGACCCAATAAAGTTTAAATAATCAATAGGTCCCATAATCTCTTGAGAGAGGTGCAATGAGATTGTGATCAAAGACACATCAAATAGAAGAAGTGAATTCAAATATATTTGATAATGAAGCAATAGGTATAGCCATTTTTGGGCTTTCCTTTCACAATTCCTCATTGGGGGGATCCACAACACTTCTCCCTTTTCCCCTTATAACTTCCTCCCACTAATTCGAATTAGGTCTAGCCGTCCTCCTTCATTCTCCATTTTTGTGTATGCTTAGTAGTGGGCTTAGAAGAGCAATGTTGGGTTGAATGACCAAAAGATTCACAATCTAACATCTGTGACTTCTCATATAGCTTCCTCTCTATATATACCAGTCTCGAACCTTGACCAGTGGGTTTATAATTCAAACCATAAGCCAACAGGCTATAAGGTGAACCGGTAAGCATTTTCATTTCTCCAGTTGTTAGGTTTCTAAGTGAGGAAAATAGATAATAATGTAATATTATCATATGTCCTATTGTCTTGGATTACAAAGAATTTTTACTCGAAAGGAACCAAAATAGTTGTAGAAGACAGTAACGATAGTTTCAGGTTTTGTTTTTGTGTTCCATATAAAGAAAATATTACATTTCAAAATATACTCTCTTTATTTATTTAATTTTTTTTTTTAATATCTTTGCCTGCCTTCTTTTGTCATCGCAATAGGCTTCACACTAATCTTGCTCCTGGGTTTTAAACTCTATGGCTGATTTTTTCCTGTCATTTTGCCTTTATATATATATATATATAGGTTTTATTGGAAATTCACACTAATCTTGTTCTTTTGGGATGGCAGCTGGATAGGTTTATTCCCAACCGATCTGCAATGGATTTTGATTTTGCACATTACATGCTCAACGGTGGGATGGTAAGAAAGGAAAGCCCAACACCATGCTCTCCAGCCAAAGAAGCTTACAGGAAGAGGATCCTTGCATTTTGTGTGGAAAAAGAAATTGGGCTTCTGTCAGTTTCTCTAACTGCATTTTGTGTGGAAAAAGAAAAACTTAAAGAAAAACATGGGTTTAAATGCAACACAACATGCATTTTTATATCCCATTTAAGTTATGATAAAGTTGGTAGTTTCTTTTACGTTTTTTTTAGTTTGGAAGAGAACAAAGTCCAGTTTAGTGGTGAAGTGCAAGGTTGAATGAGGCATGTATCATTGAAGATTTTATTATACTGATATAATGCATAAAGTGAACTACTATGAAGGATTATGGCTTGTATAGTTGGCCTATATTTTAGAAAACAAATATTAGAACTAAGAGTATTATATTCTTTATTTGGAGTGAAATGAAATGTATTTATTGCAAATTGTCACATTTCTCATGATCTAGGCATTAGATTTGATTTTTCTGGTGCCACCTCTCCATCCTGTACTCTATTTTTCATGGTTTTTCTGAACAGCTGAGGACTTTGCAAGACGGGCATAGTTCAAGGGTTGGTTCTCTTGATTGGAACAATCACACACTGTATTAGAAAACTGTATTAGAAAATTAAAAGAAACCAAAAACTGTCTTGGTATGGATGATGGCTTTAGGATACTGCTGAAGAAAATACTAAAAAAAAATAAAATAAAATAACTGTGTTGGTGTAGGAGTGATCCCAAAGTAGGGTTATTAAAGAAATTAAAGACTCAAAAGGTGATGTTTAACTGGTTAATCTTGAAATATAGTTGCAGTTTCTTTGTCTAGTTCTTTTATGATCCTGTTTTCTTACCCCTTGCTGAAAATATCCTATACTGGATCTTGGTTCCCTTTACTATTTACTCTATTACTACTTACATATCTTGTTCACTGATAATCAAGTTAAATTATACTTGTACTTGAGAATCCAATATAATTAATTGGTCTTTCTGGGTGTATACCAAAATTTACATAAAAATACAAAACCTTTGGAATTAAATTAGGCGGTCACGGGGATTTAGACCTCCATTACCCAAATTAATTGTATGGGAAAGCAGTATTGTTTATCAGGAGTAGGCGGAATTAAGTTGCCTACTGCCCAAATTAGCACTAGGCTCTCTTATCTTGGTTTTGTTTATTTATGTATGTTATTTTGTTCGTACGTTTTGGTAGTAGTTTCTTCGCTACTTTTTGTTTGTCAATGATGATGATATCTATTTGATTCATAAATGACATTATAATAGTTTTGTTAAAATAAAGACATTAGATTAGTAAATTGTAATTACAAATAGGGATGTCAATAGTCTGCCTCATGACAACAATGGCACTATTTATAACTTTTTCAAACACTAAGGCTTTTTCTTGATGATATGACCATACCTCTTTATCTGTCATGGTGTAAGGCTGTTTTACATTATTTGGCTTTTTGTTCAATCACATGGCTAGACACAGAATGGGACTCTTACTGAATAAATCAGCTCTTGTAGATAAACAAAAGCAACCCACTTTCATATCTTATCATCACATGGCTAAAGTTAAAAATAGTGGTAGTAGGTGCATGAACTATTATGCAAAACACCCCACTTCCTGCCAAAGAGAGAGAGAGAGAGGTGTAAGTCCCTTTTGTCAAATCATCACATGGGTAAAACTCATTCACATGTCTGTGAATTGGGCTTTGTAAATAGACATATGGCATATGCACAATGCCATAACATTAGCACTAGTAAATCTCAAGGACTGAGTTTTTTTGAGCAATAACGGGGAGGTGGAATTCATACAAAATACTGCATAAAATTAATAAAAAATACATACATTTCATATACATACTGCATAAAATTTAACTCAACTACTAAGTTTTTTTTAGCAATAACGGGGAGGTGGAATTACAAAGTCATCATCCCCTGTATCTGAATAATCTGACAGCTCTGAAGCAACTTATAAGTCTGGATCATTAGTAATGGCTTGAATAACTTCAATTGGATCCTTATGCATCTTCTTTGCAATGGAAATGCTCTCATTCCTGCAACATCTGACATATAGATTTTTTAATAGCTTTGATCAAATATGAGAAAAA